TTAAAACTTAACCGCACTTAAACAGCTTTTAAATTGTTGATAATTGTACAAATATTGCTTCCAGAATTACGAAAGGCATAAAAACTTTAACCAGAAGATAAGAACAACATAATTCAATCATTTTTAAAGCAAAAAATTTACAATTTACAATTATATAAGAGTAAGGAAACTGAGATCACTGTGCCGAGTAACAGAGTAGATATATATATATATAAATATAGTATTTATATACGCTTGGTGCGGCCGATTGCAACCAAAATACGAGGTGCACATCTACATGTTATAGCAGTCCTATATAGAAAATTTCAACGTTCTGAGGCTACTCGTTTTTGAGTTATGGAGATACGTAGGACATACGTTTCGTACAGACGGGCCAAGAATTATTTTCAAGCAGTTTATATTTTTTGCGAGGAAACGTGTTCTATTCTGTCTTTACCTACAAGATATCACGCAAAAAAACATCGTTTTAATTGATTCGATAGCGTCCAAAATGGATATTTTCGTGAATATGCTGCCCTGAAACTTTCGCGATTACAATACTTCCTTTTTTACTTCGTACAGAAAGTAAAAGCATAGCGGCACTTGACACTTTAAAATTGTGATATTCTAAAAATATTGCATACAGATTTACTAAAAGCTAAAACCTTAACAGATAAAAAACCACAATGAAAATTTTAAGCAAAAAATGTACAATTACATAAATAGGGTAAAAAACTGAGATCACTGAGCCGGGTAACAGATGGATATATATAAAAATATATTTATACGTTTGGTTGCGACCGATTTCAACCAAACACGAGGTGCACATCTACATGTTATAGCCGTCCCTATAAAAAATTCAAAGTCCTGAGGCTACTCGTTTTGAGTTTCGGATACGTACGTACGTACTACGTTCTTACAGGACGCCCGAAAAAATTTCTTACTTAATTTTAAAGCAGTCTATAGTTTTTTGAAGGAAAAGATAATTTTATTCGGTCCTTACGTACAAATATCAGGAAAAAACATCGTTAAATTGCATTGATAGCGGCAAAATGGTATTTCTTGAAATATGCTGCCTGAAACTTTCGCGATTACAATACTCCTTTTTACTTCGTACAAGGAAGTAAAAAACGGCTTTTATTTTGATTATATATAAATTCAACACTTTTTTATACTAAATACATTTCCGAAAAGGTGAAAATTAAATCCAAAAATCAATATCGTTTGTTTAAAGAGGGAAAATATTCTCACAAAAATAATCGAACACTTTTAGTAGCAACCAAAAATAACAAAAACTTACATTGTTTTTGCTTCTTAATATATTCTGGAATCACTTTACTGAATCTTTCGACCATGGACTCCACAAGCTTTTATTGTTATTTTTGGGACTTACTTTGCGCCACTCCTCTTGAATCACAGCTTTCAATTGCTGCCGCGAAGTTATGCTGTGTTTTCGAAGTTTCGATTCTAGCTCCTGCTAAATATATTCAATAGGATCAAGATCTGGCGATTGGGGTGGTGCCATAATTACTTCTAGGCACTTATCCAGAAGTAATTATGATACCAGCCAGAATCTAACATTGTGCAGTATGCTTTTGGATCACTGTCCTGGTGGAATTTAAAACTGTTTTGTATATTAAGTTTTTGTGCTGGTAATGCCAGATTTTGCTTCAAAATGTTAACGTATCTATAAACTGCATATTACCAACCACCTGAATGAGCCATAGATAATTTTTCTTCCGAAAGTTTTATTTGGATTTTTTCCACACCAGCAGTCATTCATCTGAGCCGAAAAATGTTAAATTTTTTTCATCAGCAAACAAATACTTTTTTCCAGTTGGGTTCTTTTGCTTCATCGATTTTGTGAAAGCGAGTAAAAGTTTTCGGTTATAAATAGACATAAAATTTTCTTCTTGCTACTCGCCCATGATTACTCGCCCTGCTGATCTCATTATTACTCTTATAGTTTCTGGATTTACACATATTCCATGTAATTCACGAAGTTCCGCAACAAGTTTAGGAGGACTCAGTTTTGGATTTTTTAACCCTTTCCGGCACGTTAACTTTTAAAGTCGGAGTTTTGATAGAAAAAAAAAAAAGGTAGGCAATCTAATTAGGCCTAGAGGAGTACACAAGTAAAATTTTGTGAAGATAGCACTTATCATTTTAATTCTGTGATTGTGCCCAAAGTGGGCACACTGATTGAACAGAGCTTCGAAAAGAGTGCTGAAACGAGCATTGTTTCAAGAACTGCGATGAGATGCGGAGAAAGAGAATAAAGACTATCCGTTGTCCTAGATTTCGGTGAGCCCGCTCTGGGCACACCTAGGGTTCGCCGTTTGATTTATGGAATTTCTAGGTAAAATTTAAACTAATATAGAATAAGCATTAGCCTACAGCCAAACAAATAACATAGAAATTTCTTTTCAAACTATTTCTTTTATATCCTAAAAAAAATCTGTAAGATGTCTTTGAAAAATGAGGGTCTTAAAAAACTAAACATGGCTAAAATATATGGACTGTTTTGTGTTGAGTTGCCATCTACTATAAATAAAAAAGGTTCAGAGTAACCTATAGTAACCTTTTTCATTCAATTTTTCTGTGCGTACGGAAGAAAATTTTTAGGTGTGTTCAGATCGGACACACTCTGCCGCAAAAGGTTAGTATTACTTAGAATAAAGCGTTTTATTCTATCAAATGGTCTTCCAAGTCATGTTTTGTTTTGAATATGATTCTGTTTTTTTAACGCTTAATAATATCACAAACTGTACAGTACATAAATTAAGTAAATAGATAATTTTTCCGATAGGTTTCACTTTTTTTTACGCAAATCAGTAACCAATCCGCGAGTTTCTAACGATGTTTCCTTTCGCGACCGAGCCATCGTAAGAAAAAATTAAAATAGCGGATGTTTTCTAAAAAGAAAATTCGAATTATGAAAGCAAAAGATTGTTAGATTTTGGCCTAGCTTCTTTATCCAAACTTATTCCATAAAATTTCCTTTTTTATTTATTTTAGACGATTTTAATTAGAAATTGTGAAACTCTCCGACTAAATTTATGGTATCTTTTTTTTCCATTTCAGCCTAGAACTTTTTTTTTAAAATTTACTATTTAATTTTTCAAATTTATTTAGTACAGAGAGAAAGCTAAGAAAATATGTATCCAACGGCAAAAGATTCTTTATTCTTTTATTTCAAAGCTTTTCTCTTATTGCTTAAAAAAATAAAAAGAATTATTCTGGCTGATTATTTTTGTGAGACATTGTTAAGGCACTAAAATCAATTCTTACGGAGAAACGAAACAAAATTTTTACTCAAAACATTTGTTGATTGTGTACCAAAGCGCATAAAAGGAATAATTTTAGATGAAGATTATCCAAAAACATTTAATAATTCCGTTGTTTTCATATTCTTATTAAATATAAACTGCTTGTTCAAAGTGTTCGAATGCTTAAGTTTATTTTTAGAACTCTTTGTATCTTTGTACAACTCTTAGTGGAGTTTTAGAACTCAAATTTTTAGAACTCTGAATAAATTATTTTTTTAACCCGCAAAGTTTCAAATAACGTTTTACAAAAACGAACATGCTGAAGATAATTGAAATTATTTTGCCAATATTTAGCAACTGATTTTTGCAAATAAAACTGAAAAACACAAGTTCAGAAAACAAACGTGAGCCACTGTATAGATTTCTGATATCAGCAAAATATGGTTTGTCTATTAAAAGGAAAATGAAAAAAAAAATTATAAATCTGATATATTACGCCTAAAGGGGCGTTTTTTAACGTTTTCTGTGCTACCTTATTAAATATCATGTTCTTCGCGCACTTAAACCATAAAATTCAATTCAACAGCAATATCGCAAAATATTTAAAAGTGTTTTTCAGTTTTATTTGCAAATAACAGTTGCAAAATTATTTTAATTTTCTTCGGCATGTTCTATTGATCCTTTGTTAAGCGTTGCTATTTTTGAAAAACGTTATTCGAAACGTTTAGGGTTAAAAAATTAATTTATTCAGAGTTCTAAAAATTTGAGTTCTAAAACTCCACTAAGAGTTGTACAAAGATACAAAGAGTTCTAAAATTACTTTAATTATCTTTTTAATCTATCTAATTATCTTTATAATCTATTTAATTATCTTTATAATCTACGTAGTTATCTTTATAATCTATCTATCTAATTATCTTTAGAATTTCTGATACACAGTCTCGCTTGCTGCAGATAGAAATGTTTTTTTTTTTTTTTTCGTACAGTGTTGCCATTGCTCGCTTTGAAATCGTTGAGTTTGTTAATCAAAAATTCTTTAACGTTTGACAAAATACTATGAAACAGATAATAAAACAAATTCCAAATTCCAAAGTTGGGCCCACATTCGAATGGAGGAGAACGTTATTCAAAATTGGATGTTTCTACGTACCGTTGTATATACATACATTAACATACTTACATACATTCATGCAGATTCTTTATTATTTAATTTCTTTAAATATAATGCCGGGTTCTAATATTTGGTGGCAACAATTAGAAAAGTGAACCGACATTCATAGCAAATCGAGGCAAAATGCCAAAACGAAATTAAAAGCCCTTTGGGGCAAATTGCCCTTTTGGGCTAAAAAAAAAGGAGTTTTGGGAGGTGTATTAAATATCATTCTTCTTAAGCCGATTTTTATAATATTAATAATTGAAAAAACAAGCTTCTCAAACATTAATCTGTTATAAAATCAATTTATTTAAGTCCATTTTCTAATCTTATCAAAAGCTGCAGGAGGAAAGTGAATTAGCTCGAAAATACTCTTAAATAGATTAAACCTGCCTGATAAGTTGTTACACATACGAAAAGAACCGATGCATTTGGGTTACTAAAACTAAACGATTTCTTTCCCACTGAAGAACAAAAGTAACCTTCAAACTAACTCTCTTCTTCTTAAGGGGAAACTGAGATAATAAATAATTAGTACTTTAAAAGCTGCTCCGAGTCAAGCAGACGATTTAACTTGTTTCGGTCCCATTGCCATTCGGGTAGCCAAAGAGTAACTTCGAAAATCTGTTACGCTTTATGAGTTTGTTTGAGAGGTTTCCGGCGCTAAGCTTCATTTTGTAGTCGAGCACGCAAATGCTTAGAACGAGATTCTGTTTTAGGATGTTTTGGTACTCCTCGACACCTTGCGTGATAATTGCTGTTTTATTTCTGGACTGAAAAAATATTTTTGTAAGAAATTTGTGTCGCTAATTTAGGCCGCCGCACTTGGTGATGAAAACAACTTAAACGTATCTCCAGAAGGTTGGTGGAATATTACAAAAAGTGGTCAACTTTTTTCTTTTATATCATTTTGGATTATTCTGAGGATATGACGACTATGGTTTGATTTCTGGAGTTTCAAAGTAAGTGATTTACATATTTAAATTTAAAAGATAACTTCTTTTAACTTTAGGACTGAAAAGTTAAAAATCATATTGAGGAAATGGATAATTCTGTGAAATTAAAAGCTCTTGGTTTTTAATTTTAAACCTAAACGCAATGGAAGTTATTATTAAATTTATCTGAAAAAAAATTCTGAAAGGTTTCAGATTTTAAATAACGTCCAGAGGGGCGTTTTTTTTTAACGTTTTGTCTGTTACCTTTATTTATTAAATATCATGTTCTTTGCACTTAAACCATAAATTTCAATTCAACAGAAATGTCGCAAAATAATTTTAAAATGAGCCTATCTTTAGAATTATTTTAAAATGAGCCTATCTTTAGAATTTCCGATACACAGTTCCGCGCGTTGGAGATAAAAAGGTTTTTTTCCCGCGTAGAGTGTTGCCATTGTTCGCTTTTATATCGTTACGTTTGTTAATCAAACATTCGTTAAATATTTACGAAATATGAAATTCGATAATAAAACAAATTCCAAATTTCAAATTTGTGATTTCAGACGCCAATATTCGCAGTAGGATGACGTCATTGAAAATTGGATGGCTCTAGGTACCGTTGTTTTATTACGATGCGAGAAACATACATACATTTACGCAGATTCTTCGTTATTTAATTTCTTTAAATATAATACAGGGCGATAGTATTTGGTGGCAACGATTTGGAAAGTGATACGCCTTTTATAGAGTTCCAACGCAAAATCACAAAACAAAAACAATAGTTCTTCACGTACAAAGCCGCTTTGAACAAAAAATAGCGAACTTGTAAAAATCAAATATGTTTTTGTCCTATTCTATTTTGGTTTACATAATATTATCAATCACACGCATTTATGATTCATTAAAAATTATAAACAAAGGATATAATGTTCTTTGGAGAAGTAACATTTAAGGATTGTGAAATTTAATATATATAGGATGTTTAAATATTTTTGCAACGATTTCGCTTTTCTCCATGCATTTAAATATTAATTATAAAATAAAAACGTGACTGGCATCCAGTTGGAATAAGGTTTAATTATCGTCTGCAGCATTAAAAATATTCCTTTCTTTAAAATGTCGCTGAAAAATAAACAATGAATCAAAGGCTATATTTTTGCGCTGTCCGAAGAGAAATTCTTTTATTATTAAAAAATGAAGTGAAAGGCATGCTTTAATTTTTCTAAAAGTTTTAGGATTATTACCGGATTATCTTAGAATGGAACACTTAAAATAAAGGAAAGTATGAAAAAATGTCAAAATTGATTCGGATTACTATCAGAAATATTTTTAACACCTAGTTTTAAAGAAGTTCCATCACTTTATCCAAACAATCTTCACTGCGTTAAGTTTCATCAGAATAAGGCTCCGAGCCATACTTTAAAACTACTGCTCTGTATTTTTAAAAAAAGTCTGATGTGTACACCACATGACTTCCTTTGTACGGGATATTAAATTCAATTACACGCAATTTTCCTGCATTTCATTTAAACATACTGAATTAACAAAACGAATTTTTAATTAAAACTACTTCGTCGATAGCGCATAAAAGCACAATAGAATAAATGCACTCTTTAAAGTTCACAATATTTATTTACCATAGCGACACTTCGGCGCTCAGTTCACTTTTAAAAGCGTTACATCTCACTCATTTTATAACTCAGAGTGCACAAAAATTATATCATCTAAAGAATTATCTAATCGTTTGCCACATGTTCTATTCAAATACTATAATAAAGCTAGAACGATGTATAAAAGAAATTAAGCAAACAAAACAAACAAAAAAGAAACAGTTTTTCACAGACGATTTCTCATTCAATTAATTCCGTCTTCACTTCGCGAGAAGGCAAAAGTACATAAAAACTCAAAATATCTAAATTAAAAATTACGAAGTAAATCTTAAATACTTATTTCCTCGAAAAAATTCCAGAAAGGATTAAGCATGATTTAAATAATAAATGAAGGCATTATCTTTGTTATTGCGAAGCTAAGTTTCTGTAGATTGGTAACAAATCCGCTATTTTGCTGTTTCAAATGTAAACAAGAGCAATGGCCGCCATCGAAAACGGCATTAGGCTTAGCGACACTTAAACAATTTTAAAATTGTTGATAATTCTAAAAATATTGCATACAGATTTACTAAAGACATAAAAACCTTAACCGGAAGATAAGAACCACATAATAAGATAAGAACACAATCATTTTAAAGCAAAAAATGTACACTTTACAAACATATAAGAGTAAAGAAACTGAGATCACGGAGCCGGGTAACAGAGTGGATATATATATAAATATATTTATATACGTTTGGTGCGGCCGATTTCAACCAAAATACGAGGTGCACATCTACATGTTATAGTAGTCCTATGTACAAAATTTCAACGTTCTGAGGCTACTCGTTTTTGAGTTATGTGAGATACGTACATACGTTATCTAATCGTTGCCACATATTCTATTCAAATACTATAACAAAGCTAGAACGAACGTACATACATACGTTCGTACAGACGCCACGAAACATTCTCTTTAGAATTCATTTTAAAGCAGTTTTATAACTTTTTTGGAGGAAAAGAGTGTTTTATTCCGTTCTTACAAACAGATATCACGGAAATACATCGTTAAATTGTATTGGAAAGAGGTCAAAATGGGATATTTTCGTTGAAATATGCTGCCTGAACTTTTTCGCGATTACAATACTTCCTTTTTACTTCGTACAAGAAAGTAAAAATGAGAGATGAAACCGGAATCGAAGTGTTCCCTTTAAATGCATCACGCCAAGTTCCCCAATGTGTCTCCTTCGGATTACTGTGCATTTGGACTTTTAAAACAAGCTCTTTATGAGCTGCATCCCAGAACATTGGATGGACTGTGGACGATTGTGAAGGAGGAGTGGAATAAAATCAACCTTTCATGTTTTAAGAAAAGCTATCTTGGAAATCCAGATGTAATATGATAGATCAATAAAAGGTAATATTCATGTTACCATAGGGCCAATGGTTCATATTCATATCACGCATGCGTAAATACAGCGTTAGATATTCCATGTTGTACATAAGGTGAGCCACGAGTAACTAATGCAGCCAACAAATTCTTTAGGATTTGAACCCAGGTCGAACTACCAGTAGTAACCCATCTTATCCAATCGGTTATTGCTGAGGGAAGAATTAGAAGATGCTGAATTGTCGTGCAAAACTAAATTAGGGAAGGATTTTCTTTTCCTGAGCAGAGTGGAAGGAAAATTCAAGGAAACCAAAACGAAATTTCACCATTTCCAATTTTCTACTAGGTCCTCTAATTACTTGAAAATTTTCAATGAAAAATATGAATATCGAATATATTATATGTTCACATTGAATAAACTGAAGATCTCTTTACTGAAGGTAGTAAACTTTAGAATTTTAATTACGGTTTTGTTTGAGAAGACTAAAGGATGGAAGGACCGTCATTTTAAAATTTTGCAGTTTGTTTTAAAACTGAGTCATCAGAAACACAGTCAATAAAGCAGTTCAAAACCATTGTAACACTTCTGAGATTTTTCTCTGAAATTGCTAAAATTTTTGGTTGCTGAGACTTTTTTTAATACAAATCGATTGAGAAGCACTAAGATCCGAAAATGATCTTGCTTTTAAGAGATCATATCAAATATTATTTACAGAACAGCAGCTGGAGTAACGTTTCTAGAATATCATCGACGATTTTGTTAAGGAAAACAAGCAAAAATGTTCTTTAGAATGTTGGTAGAAAAAGTTTTATTTCAAAAATAAATTTTATTTATTTCTCTCTATGCCATTTTGACATTTTATAGATTTTTTTAATGTGCACTGGGAAGGACGGAAAACACATCGCCTCGGGCGGCAAAAGTTCTGGCAAAGTCGACCAGCATCCACTCTCGTAATCTTTATGGAGGTAAAAAACAAATAACAAAAAACACAAATAAGGGTAAAACAAATACAAAAATAAAAAGATAAAATAAATACGAAATAAGGTAAAGCAAATACAAAGTAAGGGTAAAACAAATACAAAGTAACGGTAAAACGAATACAAAATAAGGATAAAACAAATACAAAATAAGGGTAAAACAAATACAAAATAAGGGCAAAACAAATACAAAATAAGGGTAAAACAAATAACTAAATTTATGAGGTTAAAACAGATTAAACAAATGTATTCCATAAACGTCCATTTATACAATAAAGATTTTAAAAAACAATTTTAATGCATTATACAGTGAACTGTTATTTTTTGACAGCAAAGTTTTCTTGAAATGTTTTATTTCTTTGATTAAGCAAAGCCACACTTGATGCACAGGCTTTATTTCTCCACACACCATAACATAACCCAGCCTTTACTTTGCCACTCGTTGGTCGGGCTTACACTTCCGGTTATAAATATGTTTTGAATAACTCAAATATTCATGTTTTAATAACTCAATGTCTAACTTTTGCGTTTCCAGGATTTCTGTACTTATGCTTTTGACTAACGCCCCCCCCCGAGTTAAAAAAAATTATCCCTTTTTCTATCCAAGGGAACAAAATGTGTCATAAATAAGGTAAATTAAGCATATTAGATTTTTTTGACAAAAGGTTTCCAAGCCAAAGGCTGGGACACATATGTCCCAGCTGTAGTTAATGTTGGGATACATATGTCCCACATATAGCGATCGACTTAGTATAAGCACTCCTATTATTCTGAAAAACTTTATTATATGAAATAGATAACCCAACATCATACATTGGGCAACTCATATTTCTTCTTTTCTCATGTTCATTTGTATACAACGAGCACGGTGGCGCCCTGATTTTCCGACTATTGAAAGATAATTCCCAACACTCAGGATATTCAAAGTACTTTTGAATCCAGCAGTAATTTTTAAACTTTTAGTGGGACATATACGAGGGCCATCCAGGAAGTAGATTACGTTTCCGTCTGTGTCCGCTGAATGTTTGACTTATTTTTGAATGAATGTGGGTTTTGAATTGGAAATTTTT